CATAAGGCTGTAAGTCCTGGAGGATCGGTAGGTAGGCCAAACAATTTCTTGAGGCCTCAGCGATGTGGTTTTACGGAACAATGCTTAAAATACCTTGGACAGCCAAAAAAAAAAAAAGCAACCAAGAGGCTTTGATAGAGGCAGGAGCCCGAAGAAAATTACTTACAGATATGAGAAGGAGACAGTCATCAGTTTTCGGCCATGTTATAGGATGAGGGAAAATGGAACATGTGGTGACCACTGGAAAGATATGTGGAAGGAGGGATAGAGGAAGACAACGAGAGAAGATTCTTGACAGTCTTGTTGCATGGCATGAAGGTGTGTCGGCACACGAACTAATACATGCTGCAGGAGATCGCAGATTGTGGCGAGGCATAATCGCTCCATGCCAGTCGGCAAAGCACCTGATGATGATGATTCACTATTTGTATTCGTATTCGGCCGAATAGTTGGTACAACTATTCGTATTCGGCCGAATAGTGAAAATCGCTATTCGGTACAGCCCTAGTTTTAAAAGAGCATTAATATATTTTAATGTGGCCAACATATTTCGCTTCTTGTTTATTTCTTTCAGTACTTCTCTCTGCATTCACAGAACTCCAGAACCTCTGTATGATTATTGCCTGCCCCCCCCCCTTCTCTCCCCCCCCCCCCCCCAAACATGAAATACCACCTATTCTTCTGTGTATCCACATCTCCAAAGACTCAGTTCGATGTTCCAGTTGCTTGTTCGTTGTCCAAGTTTACTGGCCAGCTGGTGTTGCAGAATCAGATGTTCAAAAATGATTCATGACAATTCCCGCCCTGGTGATGTGATTGTATATACAGATGGCTCTGTGTTGAGGGGTAGACGAAGTGCATGGGTGTTCACAGCAAAGGCGAATGGACGTCGCCTAGTGCAGCAAAGCTGGGCATATGATATCAGAATGTTTAGTTTGAGAATGGAGGTGGAGGCAGTCTCTGCTGTCTTCTGCTGGCTTGAGAATAAGCTGTTCACACATGCTGCGATTGTAACTGACTCAGAGAGCATGTTGAGATAGGTAGAGACAGCCATGCTCGGTGCAGAGCGGCAAACAAAACTTCAGAGGTCCCGGGTAGTTAGCATCCTTTGGATATTTTCTCCAGGTTATGCAGGTGTGTTGGGAAATGAGCAGGCTGATAGACTGGCCGGCTCTACACCACTTGGTGGTGAACTGTGTATGACAAGCTAGGTATTGTGAGGCACAGATAGATCATTACGGTCTGAGGAGAATGGCGCTTCGGAGAGTTACCAGGGGATCTGGCCGACGCTCAACACTCAGGGCAAGGATGAGACGTATATACAGTCAGACAGTTACTGGTGCAATCTGAATTGGAACTCTTCGCTTGCTGCTGAAAATGGGGACATAGCGCTTATGGGAGAGTCCTGAGTGCTGTGATGTCGATTCTTAATTCAAATTTGTCTGTCCAAGTTTGTGCGTCATACAGCAGGGTTGGGCATGCATAACATTTGTTTGTCTCTCTAGCTGTCAGTAATTCTCACCTCGTTTCGAAGAAAGTGTTAGCCTTTCCTATCCTCTTTTTTGATTGTGGTTTCACTTCTGTCATCGTCTGTTATTACGTGCCCAGGATGGAAGACACGAGTTACTTGTTCTTCCGTTTACTGTTGGTCGCACTATTTCTTGTTCATTATTCAAGGGTCGTCACAGCATGAGGAACTGTATTAAAGGGTCGTCACAACATGAGGAACTGTATTAAAGGGTCGTCACAACATGAGGAACTGTATTAAAGGGTCGTCACAACATGAGGAATTGTATTAAAGGGTCGTCACAACATGAGGAACTGTATTAAAGGGTCGTCACAACATGAGGAACTGTATTAAAGGGTCGTCACAACATAAGGAACTGTATTAAAGGGTCGTCACAACATGAGGAATTGTATTAAAGGGTCGTCACAACATGAGGAACTGTATTAAAGGGTCGTCACAACATAAGGAACTGTATTAAAGGGTCGTCACAACATGAGGAATTGTATTAAAGGGTCGTCACAACATGAGGAATTGTATAAAAGGGTCGTCACAACATGAGGAACTGTATTAAAGGGTCGTCACCACATAAGGAACTGTATTAAAATCGTCACAACATGAGGAACTGTATTAAAGGGTCGTCACAACACGAGGGATTGTATTAAAGTGCCGTCACAACATGAGGAATTGTATTAAAATCGTCAAAACATGAGGAACTGTATTAAAGGGTCGTCACAACACGAGGGATTGTATTAAAGGGCCGTCACAACATGAGGAACTGTATTAAAATCGTCACAACATGAGGAACTGTATTAAAGGGCCGTCACAACATGAGGAACTGTATTAAAGGGTCGTCACAACATGAGGAATTGTATTAAAGGGTCGTCACAACATGAGGAACTGTATTAAAGGGTCGTCACAACATGAGCAACTGTATTAAAGGGTCGTCACAACATAAGGAACTGTATTAAAGGGTCGTCACAACATGAGGAATTGTATTAAAGGGTCGTCACAACATGAGGAACTGTATTAAAGGGTCGTCACAACATAAGGAACTGTATTAAAGGGTCGTCACAACATGAGGAATTGTATTAAAGGGTCGTCACAACATGAGGAATTGTATAAAAGGGTCGTCACAACATGAGGAACTGTATTAAAGGGTCGTCACCACATAAGGAACTGTATTAAAATCGTCACAACATGAGGAACTGTATTAAAGGGTCGTCACAACACGAGGGATTGTATTAAAGTGCCGTCACAACATGAGGAATTGTATTAAAATCGTCAAAACATGAGGAACTGTATTAAAGGGTCGTCACAACACGAGGGATTGTATTAAAGGGCCGTCACAACATGAGGAACTGTATTAAAATCGTCACAACATGAGGAACTGTATTAAAGGGCCGTCACAACATGAGGAACTGTATTAAAATCGTCACAACATGAGGAACTGTATTAAAGGGTCGTCACAACACGAGGGATTGTATTAAAGGGCCGTCACAACGTGAGGAACTGTATAAAAGGGTCGTTACAACATGAGGAATTGTATTAAAGTGCCGTCACAACATGAGGAACTGTATAAAAGGGTCGTCACAACATAAAGAATTGTATTAAAGGGCCGTCACAACGTGAGGAACTGTATAAAAGGGTCGTTACAACATGAGGAATTGTATTAAAGTGCCGTCACAACATGAGGAACTGTATAAAAGGGTCGTCACAACATAAAGAATTGTATTAAAGGGCCGTCACAACATAAGGAACTGTATAAAAAGGTCATCACAACATGAGGAATTGTATTAAAGGGTCGTCACAACATAAGGAAATGTATGAAAGGGTCCCGGATAATTACAGACGGCATGTTTAAGTAGCACATACAGGAACTGATACCTGCTGTTAGAAAAAAATCTAAAGTTATAGTAGAGAGTTATCGTTGACGCTCACTAGTTACTATAAGTAGGCACTAGATTTAGACAGGTGTAGTCACACACAGTAGCCTGCCACACGCTTGAAAATATATAGTTCAAACATACTAAGATTTTTCAAAAAATGTCTCAGGAAACTCATGCGAATATTTTGCTCAAACAAGATCACAAATGAAGAACTGAGGAGAAAAAGAAAATGTATGGCAAAGTGTGGCAGATAAAGAAGAAGGAGATGGATTAGACATATTTATTGAATGTAGCCTGACACTTTAAGATTGTCAGTTCTAGACAGCAGAGAGAACAAGCAGTCCCAAGGAAACCTGGAGAATGACAATGGAAAGGAAGATACAAGAATGTAAAATGTCATGGGATACCATGGGCAGACCGGAAGCACTGAAGATCACTTGTGAATGTCTTATGTGACAACAGAAACACGAAAAGTATAAAGTTGCCGGTCAACAGACTGAAAACATATCTTCTTCGTCTCCCATTTACCATACCGAAGTTTCAAGGGAAGGGGCTAGATGGGATGGGGAAGGAGGGCGAGGTCGCAAGAAGTGTGTAAAATACAGGATCGTCTGTGTAAAGTACATAATCGTCTGTGTAAAGTACAGATTCGTCTGTGTAAAGTACAGGATCGTCTGTGTAAAGTACAGGATCGTCTATGCAAACTACAGGATCATCTGTGTAAATAAAGTATAGGATCATCTGTGTAAATAAAGTACAGGATCATCTGTGTAAAGTACAGGATCACCTGTGAAAAGTACAGGATCACCTGTGTAAAGTACAGGATCGTCTGTGCATAGTACAGGATCACCTGTGCATAGTACAGGATCGTCTGTGTAAAGTACAGGATCATATGTGTAAAGTAAGGATCATCTGTGTAAAGTACAGGATCATTTGTGTAAAGTAAAGCATCCTTTTCCACACATTCAGTCGTATAGGGCACATAGGGCTGGACCAGTTTTTTATAGAGCAATCGGCACTTAGTGGTTGAGGTGGTCAGCATCACGCAGGCCGCCTTTCCTTCACAGGACTACACCTAATACCCACTCAAGGCTGGGTTGACCTAGGAGCCAAGGTCTTTTTTTTTTTAAAGAAGTCCGGTACCGCCAGCACCTGAACTCACGACCTTCCGATCCGCAGGCAAGCGCGCTAGCCGCTACACCACGGGAGCACTCCATCATCTGGGTGCTCTGTCTAAATTTGGTCCTTATTTCTCTAACGTGGATTGATTAATTTGCAAGGACAGGACTGTGATGCAATCGCCTTGTTTTGGTACGTTTTGGACAAATCACTACTGTTCCCTTTGCTTATATTCCACTTGGGAAGTCGCGGTGGCATAGTGGCCACACTCTCGTCTGTCAGTCCCAGGTTCCAGTCCGCTCGTGACGCGGTTGGGAAACTCTTTATCTTGATACTCTGCCTAACAGTGATATTAGGAAGTATGTTTAGGAATGTAAAGGTGGCGGGCGTGACGTTGTCCACGTCAGCCAACAAGCGTCGATTGGTATAAAAATTTGTATGTGGCATTGTATACCAGATACGGCACTGGTGTATAAAGGGTCGCTGAATTTTACTTTTGTTATCTGTTGTTGTTTTGTTTGTTTACATACTCTAAAAACTTAATGCATCGCTATTGTCTGACTTCCAGAACGACAGTGGGGCCCCTGTCTATTGTAAGGCCCTGGAGACAGAAGAGTGGATTCTCATGGGAGTCACCGGCTTACAGAGAGAATGCGACAACACTCCAGAGATCACCGTCATACCATATCCTGGTTGATCGCAAGTGGCAGTAAAATCTGGCAACAATCCTGCCCAGAACTCTCTGCCTTATGAGAACCAAAAACTTTAAATTTGTGTTTTGAAAATTTATTATGTGATTTTACTTCAGAATATAAAAGCATTTTAATGTTTAACACAACAGCGGCAAAATAAGTCACAATGATGTTTTGAAAAAGGACAAGGATTCGAAATAAGAAAAAGTTAAAAAAAAAAATGTAGGAAGAAAGAAGAGGCGAGAGAGAAAACTAGAAAGGATTTTGACAACAGCACTTAGACAATGTTAAATCAACGTTGGCCGAACATTTTTTTTACAGAATTATATATATATATATATATATATATATATATATATATATATATATATATATATATATATATATAATCTGTGGTAAAAGATATAAAAGTGGGAAAATATAAGAGGTATGGGGGAATGGTCGAGCGGCATTCTTACTAAAATTATGATGATATATATTATGTATGTATGTATGCCTTCTCTCTCTCACCCACTCTCTCCTCTTCACACAAACCCACCCTCAGAAACACAAATGTTGACAAAACTATTTTTAATACATTCTCTGGTGACTTACAACTTCTTACCTTTACCTCACAATCTAGCATAAGCTTAAGTAAATATGTAAAATGGCTTCTCTTTTTGAAATAAGTATCACTTTAAAATACATCATTACTATTTAAAAAAAAAAAAACACCCACACACACACACAACATCCTATATTTCAAGGTAAACACGAGTGCAAATTATTCTGTTTATAAAATGTATCAAAAATGGTATGGCCAATAGAATCGCGGGGCGCCTTTAGAAGTAATATACCCTATATTATACACCCTATTTAAAATGTACAAATAATGCAATATACACATTGCGGACACTAGTAGAGAGATCAATGCAGAAACAGAAAGATATATATTTGTGCTTCATAGATTACACCAAAGCTTTAGTTAAAAGGAAACATGATGACATAATAAAATTGTTAGAAGATATTATCATTGGTGGAAAAGATCTCAGAATAATAAAAAATATTTACTGGAAGCAGTAATTAAAATGGGAAATAAAGTAGGCAGTTATGAACAGATAAAGCTCTCTCTCTCTCTCTCTCTCTCTCTCTCTATATATATATATATATATATATATATATATATATATATATATATATATATAGTGAAATAATAATGAGGGGGTCAAGGATAGACCAGGAATGCTAGCTGGAGGTTATATATAATATAAACAATCTTCGTTAAACAGATGATACAGTATTAATAGCTGAAAACGCAGAAGACCTATAACAACTATTAGACACTGTGGTACTAGAGAACGCAAAAAAAGGGACTTTTCTTGAATGTCAAGAAAACGGAAACAATGGTTATTTCAAAGAAGACGATAGCTCCAATATGTTATATAGGAATAGAAGGGGAAATTCCTAACCAAGTCAATCAATTTAAGCATTTGGGGGAATTCATGATATCAGATGGACGATGTGTGACCGAAATGAAGAGCAGAATTGGCCAGGCAAAGGCTGCATTTCAGAAGATGAAAAGTGTCAAATTAAGAAGTCTGGAGGCAACTGAGATGTGGTTCTTGAGAAGGTTGCGATTACTTTGTACTGCCACAATAACTCAACAATGATTGCCTGAAAACGGCTAATGAAAGTAGAACGTTATATACAACAATGAGAAGGAGACAAAGTTATTTGGTCATGTGATAAGAAAAGGAGCACTGGAAAATATCGTGACGACCGGAAATATCACTGGTAGAACAGGCAGAGGCAGACCAAGAGAAACGATGGTGGATGGCTTAAGACAGTGGCATGGAGAAATATCATCAGTGAAATTGGTCCAGAGTACCAAAGGCCGAGATCTGTAGCCCGCAAGGCACTTGCTGATGATACCCTATACATCGTAAGTAGTGATTACCGAAACAAAAACGTATACTTTTTCCTGGCATTTTCTGTACATAAATGTTTCTGGCTAATCTGCCCCTGGATAATCTGAAGTGTAATAATCCACGGCTTTTGGACTTTATACATATATAAAACAACGACTTATACCGCCGAACCATCAAAGTAACGCTTTCTGTTTTGGCCTTTTTTTCACATTTTATTTATCTAGGTCACCTGACGGCTCGGTGGTAAAATATATAAAAGTGGGACAATTTAAGGGGTTTGTGGGGATGGTCGAGCGGCATACTTATTAAAAATACACCTTAGCTAATGAGCCGAGACCCTGGGAAGACATCATCGCCTATCCCTTTCGGCAACGCACATGATGATGATGCTGATTGACCATGCCTGAGCCACTTATATTCCCCTTTAAATATTTTTCTATGTAATATAAATACTTTCTTTCCACCGTCCGCCAAGTATATTATACAACCAGCGAGCGCCCATCATCACCTCTGCTACAAAACTCGTAGATTCTCTGCTCCGCCTGCTCCACCACGAACCGCATCTAGAGCTTCGGTCGAGCCGCCAGGCGACCTAGATTTTAAAATGTCAAAAAGGCCAAAACGGGAGGAATTACCCCGCTGGTTACACGGCGTAAATCTTGTTTTCCTATACAAAGACATATCGCTGGTCCCCCCCCCCCCCCCCTCATTAGATCATCTAAGACACGTTTAGTTTAGCAAAAGTTATAATCGGAAACATTCCCGGAAAAATATACGAATTTTGCCGGTCATCACTAGGGTCGACTCTGGGCTCACTAATCGGTGTACCTAACACAGTTATGATCAGTCTGTCACAAAAGTCACGCCATTTTGAAGCCTCCCACTCCACTCATGGAAGTCGCCGTGGCCGAGCGAAGGTCGTGGGTTCGCTCCCTGGAGGAGCCGGACTATTTTCAAAAATGACCTTGGCTTCCAGTTGGACCCAGCCTTAAGTGGGTACCGGGTGCAGTCCCGGGAAGTAAAGCGGCTGGCGTGATGCTGACTACATTACCCATCTTGTGCCGATTGGTCTTTAAAAATATAAGTCTAGCCCTAAATGTCCTATACGCCTTGTGGCGTCATACCATACAAGGTAGACTCCAAAAGAGAAAAAGGGCGCAGATAACGAGTAGACCAAGAACAAAATGGAAAGATAACATCAATGAAACTCTACAATAGCAAGATGTGTCTAAGGACGAGAGAACACAACCCTGTCAGCGCTTTGCTTCATTTAAATAGCTTATCACGCTGTTCACCACTACTTCAAAAAGAGGCTGCCTTCTGCTGCTAAAGTTCTTAATTAGGTAGAGAACAGTATAGGGCCATTTAGGTGACAGTGGCGAATCAAATTTGTATTCACCAATTGACTCCATGTTGGACAAGACACAGGGGAGATCACTCTCCCCGTTAACCTGGCAGAGCTGTTTTGTTCTCGTGATTGTTGAAACTGAAAATTCAGATTATTGCAGGTACACATGCAATCAGTTTCAAAACTATTTGATGACCCCTAGACTGGAAACCACTGGTATAGACCAGTCATCACTTTATGTGTGATGTAGTCAACAGCACGTCGGCCGCCTTGATTTCCCATGACATTACCTTGTACCGCTTGCAACCTGGGTCGACTTGGAAGCCAGTTTTAATTTCGAGATAAATCCGCCTCGATGCGGACTTCAACCCACGACCTTTGGATCTGCAGGTATGCGTCTAATAATGTATATATAATGTTACCTCATTAATTGTTTCTGTTTTTTCCGCATCTTTCATCTGTAGGAATAATTATGCAACGGTTATAAGATGTCTTACACATGTGAAATTATTCATAATTATTTCTCTAAATATTTCATGCATGTTTTATGGATTACATGAAGGCTTTCTACCGGGCGCAACAAGAAAGGGTTATTGTATATCTACAGAATATATGTTATATAGAAAGGATGTTAAACGAACGAACGAACAAACAAACTTTACTTTCACAGGGTTACAAATTGGCCACGCAGGCCCGTCTGACATTCTGCCCTTCTAAGCACCCTTTTTTCAGAGTACCAATGCCTGTTATCAATAATGCGTGTTATGGATGTAATAAAAAAAAATATACATTATGGAATAATGTATACACGCATCATGTGTACACAATCTTACACACTCAAACAAACACACACACACACACACACACACACACGCGTATACATACTCTTACATTCTCATACATGCACACTAATATACAGACACACGTAATACATACATACACGCATCTACATACATACACAAACATAAAACACACACACATACTTACATAGAAATACATGCACAAACATAAAACACACTCACATACATAGACATACATGCACACACACATTCCATACATACAGCCTACACATGCATGCATGCATACATACAAATACAGTCACATATACAGACACCCACACATATACATTCACATGCATGCATGCACGCACGCACGCACGCACGCACGCACGCACGCACGCACGCACGCACACACACACACACACACACATACACACATACACACATACACACATGCATACATACATACATACATACATACATACATACATACATACATACATACATACATACATACATACATACATACATACAATACATACATACATACAGGGGGGGGGGGGGTTTGTGGCAAAATATTAGTGACAGAATGATTCAAAGGCAGTGAATTCTTCATAGATCAGGCTTACGTAACAATAGTCGCAAGTAAAGCAAAGTATGTTCATTGATACGCTGTTCATTTACAGACATATGACCACATTATGTAACAGAATCAGATGATAGCAAATGTGCGAAATTTGTATCAAAGAAAAAAGATGCAAA